ATATATATACTGTATATATATAGTTGCATTAATCTTAGTTATTAGTTTAATTTTCAATACATTCTCAATAGTAACTCAGTCAAGAACACTGCATAGTTTTCTACACACCAACATCTATTATAAAGCTCTATCCTGACAAACATCCTTTTGTGGCAATAATTAACATCCTGTTTCATTACAAAATTCTTTTTACAATGCATGGTTAACAAAATATTGTGCTTGGCTTAGAATAGAGTTTTGCAAGCTGTGCACATGAAAATAAGYGGGGATTTTTAAGAAACGGCTCATATGTCACTTGAACACAAAAACTCAGAAAATACTACTATTGTCTTGCAATTTTTAGTCACCAAATAAGCTCCGCTTACGTTGTCAAGTCTCACTCTATTCGACTCTGCTCAGGTGCAGGTGTGTCTTCACGGCAGTGTGTCTCTCTGTGTCAGCACGCGGCTTAAGCGGCACTGTTTATAAATGTGTGTAACTGTGCGTTGGGTCAAAACCTCCTAGAATTTGTGCTCGTTGCAGAAGGCTTCGTCCAGCTCCAGCTGTGCGCGCTCATCTCCTTCGCCTCTCTCCTGGAAGAGTTTGGAAGAGTTTGCAACTTGTGCCTTGGCTCGTGGAGACACGGCTACAGTCTACAGCAGCTGCAGCCCCAGTGTGCTTTCTGGTAAGTTTTCCACACTTGTTGTACTCTGCTTGTTTAAAAGATATTTGGTCTGAAGAGTTGACAGATTTCCTTCTACAGTTCAAAATAATCCATGTTAGGTTAACTGGCAACTCTAAATTGTCACTATGAGTGAGCGAGAGCATGAATGATTGTCTCATTTGTCTCGATGTGTCCCTGTGATGGACTGGTGACCTGTCCAAGGTGATTGCATCACTGCATGAAAAAGTGGGTAAATGAAAAAGAAGAATGAAAGAACTATAAACTGTCTTGTGCAATAATAAGCCACTCAACCACTCAATCCCTCATATTTCAATATGCACTTGAGTCTTTGAGCCTTCCGGCCTTGTCTCTGCTGAAATTTAAGGCCCATCGATCGTAAATCAATGTGTCACCCATCAGCTATTCAAATATTTTAATCCCTGGTAAAATTTAGATAATAAAACTGAATATAAATCCATTTTCTGAGCATGTAATTGTCTGCAGAAGACAAGCGATAAATCAAAATGAGTCGGTACTAACACCGTGTTATTGATTTCCAATACATATATGTCTGTTATGAAAGGAGGTTTTCCCAACTCATATCCACCGTGTGTGCAAGACGCTGCCACATTGATCGCTGCGTGTAGCCTTTACTTGTCAATACCACAACCTTGTAAAGCATCTAATAGGTAGCAAGGCCTTAAAAAAATCATTACAGCATTTTTGTTTCCTCCAGCATCGACTGGTGTGCACACGGATGTGTGTATTTGCATGTGTGTGTGTGTCTGAGCGGACCTGAGCAGAGGTTAATCTTTGCTTCATGGTCAGCCAAGACTTCTTATGCTCCACTGCATAAACAGACAGCCTGTATCTAAGCAACACCATTTCAGCACAAGGACAAGGCTCACATAAAAGTGAATGAGAACCAGCATCTTAATCGTGGCGCGGCATCAGTGTGACTTTGCAGAGCTCTGCAGAGTTAGAATGAACTGAAAGCTATAAACAAAATATACATGCACTGAAAAAGGTCTTCACCTATTGGCAGGGTCTTGTTTCCAGGAGTGGAGGCGAGAGGTTTGAGGAAACTGCAGTCTCTTCCCACATCCTGACTGCCAAAGAAGACAGAGGACGCTTGTGCCATCCTGGTGGGTGGGGAATCTAAAAGGTGGAAACAAAAGTACAGTTTTAACTAGAGAATTTGTATTTCCTGCAAAAATGCAGTGTGGATGCTTCATGCTGAAAGATTTTTTGCTGAATATTTAAAAAAAAGCTGAAACTAGCCAACAAATAGCTAAAAGAAGTAGCTGAAATAGCTGGAATTAACACAAAGAAACAGAAAGAGAACGATTGCTGAAATAAGTAGTAAGAAGCTGAAAGTATCACAAAAAGGTGAATACAAAAAATAAAAATAAAAAAGACAAAACCACAAAAATCAGAGTAAATTAGCAGAAAGCMGCTCAAGGAAGTGAGAATTTTGAAAATTGCAGAATAGCTGCAAAGATATGATAGCTAAAAATACAGAAAAAGCTCAAATTAGCAAAATGGAAGCAGAAGGAATTCATAATTAGAGAAAAGAAGTTAAAAAAGCACAACAAGAACAAACAGTAAAAAGTACAGTAAAGATTTATAAATATTTTGAAGAGATTTAAGGTTGTTGAAAACAGCTCTATTATTTTCAATGAGGAAAAGCATGATAGAAAAAGCTCAACAAAAACAACATAAAAAAGTTTAAATTGCTGAAATACCAGAAGTCATAGCCAGCATTTCCTGAAGAAGCTGAACATTTTGATATAATAACTGTTGTTTAGGCACAAAAATTTTGGAACAAAATATGTGCCAAAAAACGCACAGAAAAAAAAAAAGATCTCAATGGTGAGAATACTTGATAAGCCCCTCAGCGTCTCCAGTGATATGCAGATCTGGGGCCTCACACATAAAGGATTGCGCAGCTTTCACACTAAAAGTTGACGTATGGACAAATTTAGAAAAGTACACCGCACCAAAAAAATTCAGATGCATAAAACCGTGCACACGCATGTTCCTGCGCGCCTTTCCTTTATACATCCCAACGAATGTGGAACTGAGCGCACCCGAGACTCCTCCCCTGACACGCCTCCATTTCAATATGTAAGATAGATGTAAATGTGTCCAGCGTGTGAGATTCTCCTCAGATTCTCCTCTCTGTGGGATCAGAAATGATTTTTAGATGCAGGAAAAATATAAATTAAATGCAGAATGAGTGAGAAAAACTGTCTAAATAAGTAGTGGGGTGTAAAAAATGAGTTTGTCATTCGCGAGGTGTGTTGGTGTGTGCATGTGTGCTGCAGCGGTGCACGAGGCTGACAGACATTTCCACCTTTACACGTCTTTAATAAATGTAAACACAGAGGAACTGATAAGTTTGGTAGAAATTTAGAAAAATATTTATTAAATAGTTGAAGTGAAGGAACGAGTGAGTCGCAGCGCCACAATCATGAAGTCTTTCATTCAGATCAGCTACATGGCTCGACTCAGAACTACAGTAAAATACCTGATTGTAATTTGTTAGGTGTGACAAAAAATAAATTAATTTTAAAAAAAACACGCTGTCCTCAATTCTTCTTGTGGTGATATCATCCCGCAGAGCAGCTGACATTGATCCATAAATTACGCACAACTTTACTCAGCAAATCTATTGTCTGTGTCTTGTGGGACTGAGGAATCATCACAGCCGAGCTGTTGTGAATTAATCTGCTGAGTTGACGTTTTTTTCTCAGTTAGAATTAAAATGTKTCTTAGACAATTCACGCATTTTATTTTCCTCAGCTGTGTGTGCACCTCSCAGGCAYGTGCTCTGCGTGTGTTTCCAACTACGTGACAACAATATAAACACTTTACAGTTTACAGACTGGAATGAGGTTCTTTGATCATTTTTAGGCTGATCTATTTTCTTGTCTAAGGTTAAATGATTTTCAGTCCCGGGGTTCAGCTTCATCATCGTTCGAGTTTAAACAATAAAAACTCAAACTAAACTAAAAGTCTAACACCGTGTTCAGACGCTCCTTACATCCAGAAAACAGAACAGAGTCATATTTCTGTGGATTCAGGTCAGATTCGTGACTTTGTGGGTTAAAACTGTCGACTGAAAAACTTTGCGTGGCTGCCGCACATTCTCACGGCAGGTGAAAATGTGCGTATATTTACGCACACTTTCACGCAACGTTGGTTTTGATACAACCCAACGTGGGCGTAGAACCTGGCGCACGCAACTTTTTAATGCGTACGCACCATTTATCCATGAGGGCCCTGATGTCCTTTCCACAACGGCAGCTTAAAAGGTTTGTTCCTCCACTTTATCTTTTGTCTGTTGACCTCCAAGCCTACAGCCCAACTCTAAAAGCAGCCTCGTTGCACAACAACAGACTCGCTGATTTTCCTGAATCCTGTGAAACAAACAGCCGTTTGGAGACAACAGGAAGAAGTGCACGTTGTGGATTTTAACTGTGAGCCATGTGAGAGGCGTGTACCTGCGGGACTGSAGTCATCTGATCCATAGGTGTAATTTGCAGGGTGGTTATTAATGCCACAATAATTTGATCCAGTCAATATAAACCCCACCCCTCCCCCAACCCCACCCCCCAATAAAATGACATCATTTGCTCAAACACAATAGAAGTGAACTGGTTAAGTAGACAGATGTAACTCTCTTATTGTCTTTAGGTAACTTAGTCTTGATTTAAAAATTTACAAAACTAAACAGTCTACAATATTTTTAGTCTTTATTTTACAGTTAAAATATATGGTTATCAAATAAAGTCTAATGTTACAACTAAACAGGGATCCCTTTACTTGAGTTTTAATTACCTTATAAAATCCTATTAAAACAATATGCAATATGTAAGGCACATTAATATTACTACTCAAAGAGATGAGAATAGGTAAGTGTTGCTTCTTTTTTAAGTTCTAAACCAACAATTGTCAGCATCAAAGTTCTGCGTTATTTATAGTTTGTAATCAGCCTGCAGTTTGTGTTTATTACCTTTCATGTTACCTGGGTATTGCTCCGGCTCTAAGTAGAGCTGAGTGAAGATGGGCTGTGGGTCTCCGCTGGTGGAGCGCAGCGACGCCTCAATCGAGTTGTGCAGAGCCTCCTCAAAGCGAGCCGACTTCAGCTGTCCCGCGTATGAATTCCCCATTATCTGTGGGAGCAAAGAGAAAAGGGCAGCGCGATGAGCCAACAGGCAGAGCCACGGCGCTGTTGGTCTCCGCTCATCGATTCACTCGTTATATCAAAACAGCGAGGGAAACACGCCGCGGAGCAAACGGCAGACATTTTCCCTCAAATGTCTCATGTTTACGCTTTAACATTTAGTTCAGAGGTGTTTTAACATCAAAATGTGTATTTTAGGCGGCACGGTGGCTCAGTTGGTAGAGCTGATGCCTCTCAGCAAGAAGGTCACCGGTTCAAATCCC